AGGTCTTTCTCATCACGTACTCCTTGGTCTTTTTAACTGGAGATGCCGGGGATTGCACCTGGAACGTTCTGCATGCCAAGCAGAGGCTCTGCCACTGAGCCAGGGTCTCAGGTCAAGGTCTTTGCCATCACCTACTACCTGGTCCTTTTAACTGGCCATTTAAACCCCTGCTTTCTGTGGAAAGCAAAGCTCACCTTGACTGTCCGCCGGTGTCCAGAGCCGTCCCAGTAGCTGAAGGTGATTTCGATTTCTTCACCTGTCCAGAGATTGAAGGTTTTTAAAAGGTCAGCGCTTGTTTAATCTCAACTCGGTATGGAGACCTCCAGTGTCTCCCTGTAACTTCATCCCGCCCCCACCCCCTTCTCCTGCCTCCAGATCCAGGCGGGATTCCGATAGCCGAGGGGGCAAGGCCCGCCCGGAGTCGCGTTCCGTGTCACTCACTCTTGATTTTCTCCTGCTTAGCTTCCCACTCTTGGCGGAGCTCTTCTCGGAGACGGTTCTCTTCCTCCTGAAGGGCCGAGGGGGTGGAGAGAACGCTTTCAGGCAAGGGGGGGTGAGTCTATAAGAATGGGGGGGGACCTCTGGGCCTGAGGAAGCAAAGAGGGCAAGGGAGCAGGGCATGCTGGGAAGAGGGGACAATGCAGCATCTGACTTGCCGCCGACTGAGTGTGGAGGTTGGAGATCAGGACTTCCTTGGGCCTCCCCACCCCAGCTCCTGAAACTGTGCTCCTGAGGAGCCAGGAATGCTCAAACGCAGTGAGGGGGAGCAAAACGGAGGTCTGAGGGAGCAGAGGAGACATGGGAAGGAATTGCCTTTCCCTGAACTGCCGACACAAGCGCCACTCCGCCAGGGCATGTCGCATAGAAAATGCCTTAACAGGATTGCAGCTTGTCAGACGGACCATGGTGATCTAAACGACAGTCAGAGGTCACATGACTGGACCTGTGGCATCAGCCTGCGGGAGGTGCTTCAGTGACTCAGGATCTCTGTGCTGATTGGATACTTGGACTCAGGGGTCATTTCGTAGAAAAAGAGCTAGGGGAACTCATTAGCATAACTCATTAGCATATGCCACACCCCCTGACATCAGGGGCCCGGCGGTGGACCTGCAAGGCCGGCGGGAGTGCAAGGAAGCCCCGCCAAGGCCCTCCCCGGCCCCAGGCAGGCAGGGGTGGGGAGAGGCGGGGAGGAAGCAACCTACCCTCCCTCTTCTCCTGCCTTCTCCTGGCTGAATGAGGGCTGGAAGCGGGGCGGCCGGAAGCAGGGGGCGGGGCTTCGTCATGTGCCCCGCCCCCCGTACCTCACCCGGGGGAACTGCGTTCCCCCGCATTCCCCCCCGAAATGACCTCTGCTTGGACTACTTCATGTGTATATAAGTCTGTGCCGTATATACCACTGTATGCCAGTATGGTATCAGGTTGCTGGGCGAAGCGCTTTGCCAGTGGAAACTGTGAATACACGGACTGTGTATAGAATGTTAATAAAAGTGTAAATAGCACCAACCTACGCTGGTGTGTGCAACTTCCATATGACTCTGCAACACTCGTAAAAGAAACAGGAGATATGGCACCAGCAACGTTCCCTCTAAGGTGTGGAGTCTCGTGAGCAAAAATTCTACTTTGTGAGCTACCGGCATTCAAGTTGTGAGGGAGTGATTTGGCTGCTGCCTAAATCAGTTTGTTCTGGAGCCCTCCTTCCTGAGCTAAAGCAAAAATGTGTGAGCCGGAAGCTAAAAAACTGTGAGCTGGCTCACACTAACTCAGCTTAGAGGGAACAGTGGTCACCAGCCCACCATGGCTCACAATACCGTCAGGGCAGCGGCTGTGATCCCGGCAGACGAGCGGCCCTGGATCCAACCGGGGACTTTCTGAGGGGTGGCGCGCCGTTTTCGGAATACCCTCACCCACCCCGAGGCCGGCCCTGTTGGCCTACGGCCATCAGAGCTAAACAGTTCCCTCTTACTCAAGGTTTCTGTTAAAATTTATCCCACATTTTATTTATTTATTTTTCGCATTTATATCCCGCCCATACCGTAAAGGGGCTCAGGGCGGGTTACAACATTTTAATAAACACTATAACATTTAAAACACACTTAAAACATATATAAAACATTTAAAATCGGTAGTCACGCTTGCCGTAGGGAGAATCCGGCCCACTGATGTAACCAGGTATGGCCGGTTATCAGTAGGTGGGAGATTGCAACCTCGGGGGGGGGGGCCTATGTGGATGCCCGTTGCCTCAGGCAAAGGCCTGGCTTTACGATCTTCTGACCTGTTTCCCATCCATCTGACATTTATTCCAACTTCCTCCAACGTCGCTGAGGTAACTGTCGGACTTTACGGCTGTTCAGTCAGGAAGCTTTTAATGTTGGTGAGATTAGTCTTATGTAGGGGTTATTTTAATATAAATTGTGGACTGTTTTCTTTTCTTTTTTAAATTATTAGCATTAGTAGTCAGTGTCTGGAGAAGCGACATATGTGTTTTTTAAATAAATCTGAGGACGGCTGTGAGGGGGGCCCATGGAGAGTGGCTAAGCACCATACCTCACGGTCCCGGTCAGGCAGGAAGCTGGTGTCCACGTCTGGATTCTTCCCCAGTTTCCTCTTCTTAGTGGGCAGCTCTGTGTGGGGGGGGAGCAACAAGTGGGTGGAAGCAAGATGATAACCAGAGTCAGATTTATCCACCGGGACTGAATCGAGACCTAGGTTTCCTGTCTCATTACTAACGCTTATTTCTCCATGTTTACTCCTCCTCTGCACATCACACCTAACCCAATCATGCCTACTATTGTAATTTGCCTGCTCTTGTCATTCGGCATCTGAAGTCACTCCACTCTCCAAGATATAAGGACAGGTGGATGAACATTCTAGCTATATCTGAAGAAGTGAGCGGTGACTCATGAAAGCTCCTCCCCTGCCACAAATCTTGTTCGTCTTTCAGGTGCTAACTGGACTCTTGCTCTTTTCCACTAACACAGGCTATGTAAGCGTACAGTTAAGGCTTGACGATAATTAAAGGTAAAGGTTCCCTTGCTCGAAAGCCAGTCAAATCCGACTCTAGGGTTGCGGTGCTCATCTCCGTTTCAAAGCCGAAGAGCCAGCGCTGTCCGAAGACGTTTCCGTGGTCATGGGGCCGGCATGACTAAACGCCAAGGTGCACGGAACGCTGTTACCTTCCCACCGAAGCGGTACCTATTTATCTACTTGCAATGTCTTGCTTTCGAACTGCTAGGTTGGCAGGAGCTGGAACTAGAGACGGGAGCTCACTCCGTCATGCGGCACACTCGGGTCTCAAACTGCTGAACTACCGACCTTTCACAGCCTGCAGTTCAGCATCTTAGCCACTTAAGCCACATTTTAGAGGCACTCTAACTGCCGTTTTTATCCAACTAGATTTCAGTGTTAGAACAGGAAACCCTGCCCCTTTTGAAGTAATGTTTCATGGGCCCCAATCTGGATGGCCCAGGCTAGCCCGATCTCATCAGATCCCAGAAGCTACACAGGGTCAACTCTGGTTCATATTTGGATGAGAGACCACCAGGGAAGGCCGGGGTTGCAGAGGCAGAGGCAGGCAATGGCAAACTACCTCTGAACACCTCCTGCCTTGACCTGGATGGCCCAGGCTAGCCTGATCTCGTCTGATCTCGGAAGCCAAGCAGGGTCGGCCCTCATTAGTACTTCGGCAGGAGACCATCAAGGAAGTCCAGGGTCGCTGTGAAGAGGCAGGCAATGGCCAACCTCCTCTGTCTGTCTCTTGTCCTGACCTGGATGTGCCAGGCTAGCCCAGTCTTCACAGATCTCAGAAGCTAAGCAGGGTCAGCCCTTGTTAGTATGTGGGCGGGAGACCACCAAGGAAGCCCAGGGTTGCTATGCAGAGGCAGGCAATGGCAAACCCACCTCTGAATGTCTCTCGCCTTGTCCTGGACGGCCCAGGTTAGCCCAATCTCAGAAGCTAAGTAGGATCGGCCCTGGTTAGTACTTGGATGGGAGACCACCAAGAAAGCCCAGGGTTGCTACGCAGAGGCAGGCAGTGGCAAAACACCTCAGTTCGTCTCCTTCCTTGACCCGGATGGGCCAAGTCTAGCCCCATCTCGTCTGATCTCGGAAGCTAAGCAAGGTCGGCCCTGGTTAGTAAATTGGATGGGCGACCTCCGAGGAAGTTCAGGATTTGCTATGCAGAGGAATGGCGAGGCAGGCAGTGGCAAAACACCTCCGTTCGTCTCCTTCCTTGACCCGGATGGGCCAAGTCTAGCCCCATCTCGTCTGATCTCGGAAGCTAAGCAGGGTCGGCCCTGGTTAGTAAATTGGATGGGAGACCTCCGAGGAAGTTCAGGATTTGCTGCGCAGAGGCGGGCAACAGCAAAATCCACCTCTGAACGTCTCCTGCCTTGAGAACCTCACAGGGTCGCCAGACGTCAGCTGCGACTTGAGGTCACTTTCCACCACCGACGCTTCATGGCCTCCTCACCTTGACATGACGCGGGGCCACGGGCCGTCTCAATTTGGTCCTGACGCTAAGCCGAGGGGTCAGGCAACCCTGAACAGCCAAGACGCTAGGCCTGGCCCCACTGCTGGACCTCCTAGTGGCACCTGGTATTTTTGGCCACTGAGTGACAGAGGGTTGGACTGGATGGGCCCCTTGACCTGATCCAACATTGGCTTCTCTTAGGTTTTCCTCGGCACATGACGGAGGGCCTCTGCCTCTCAGCTGTGGAGCCTTGTGAGCAAAAATTCTACTTTGTAAGCGACTGGCATTCAAGCTGTGAGCGAGCAGCTTGGCTACTGCAGAAATCACCTTGCTCAGGAACCGTCCTTCCTGAGCTGAGGCAAAAACGTGTGAGCCGGAGGCTAAAAAACTGTGAGCCGGCTCACACTGACTCAGCTTAGAGGGAACACTGGTGGCAGCCCTGAGGTGGTGGCAACGGGGTGAGTAAAAGAAGACGCTAAACAGCTTCTGCCACTCCTTGCCTTCCAGAGCAACCCAACCACCCGCTGGTTCTCACCATGTCTCTCCAATCCCCTTTTATTTGCTGCCGCACCAGCCTCCTCACAGGTATATATCGCTTTCGCTTTGTTCACCACAGTCCCTGAACCCCGTTCCTAGAGCTTGGCAGCCAGCTCTTCTGTGCGCCCCAGCCCCAACCCTTCCTCAACCGCCCCTGTGCTCGGTTTCGTCTGCCGATGCCTGGCCTCACCTTCCCGCTCAAGCTCCACCTCCTCCTCCTCCTCCTCCTCTCCTCCGTCCTCTTCCTCTTCCTCGTCCAAGGTGAAGGACAAGCTGGAGATCTTGCGCTTTTGCTCCTGCTTGCGTTCCCGCTCGCGCATCCGCTCCAGCTTCCTGCGGAGAGACAAGACACACTCTGCCCATCTCGTAGGCTTCTCTCTCCCGCTTGTCGCCAAGGGCCCCGGGTACCCGATTCTCCCGCCCCCCGTTTTCTTTTCACAGCAGTCCCGGGAGTTAAGTGGGGCTGGAAGAGAATGGCTGGCAGAGTCATCATTATGGTTAGCCACTTTGAACCATGAGGAAAGGGAGGGAGGGAGGAGAG